ACAGACACTGGCCTGTCTATTCTGGCGGCCAACAGTACGGTTTCTCCTTACTGGCACGCAAATTCAGAACAAAAGATAGCCAAGCCGCAAGAGAAGAATTAGAGGACAGAAAGGTAGCCTCGGGTGGAGAAAAATCGAAAAGACTCGAGAGTCGAAACAGAAGAGCAAAGAAAGCGGCGTTGACCCTCGAGGCGCTAGATGCCACCTGGTTTAGTTGGTGGCCCACCCTTGGCCCAATCTTTCTGCAAGGGTGCACACATGATAATGACTGGGAACTGTTCCAATGGACCAATGGCACCCAGCTAATTTCCATCTCTCTCTCTCTCTCTCTCTCTCTCTCTCTCTCTCTCTCTCTCTCTCTCTCTCTCTCTCTCTTTCTTGTCTTCTTCTTCTTCTTCTTCTTCTTTTTTCTTTTTTTTTCTTTTTTTTTCTTTTTTTTCCATTCCGTCGTTTCGCAGTGTTTGACTGTCGTCCTAGACTTTTTTTTTTTTTTTTTTAGTCATCCCCGTATTTTGCCACATACGTGGGTTTTGCTTAAATTACCAGTCTCTCCAAGCCTATTTTGCGAAAGCAGTAATTTTTTCACCGGCCCTGGCCCGCCCTCCCTTGAAACAATTGGGGGACTCTATTCGGTCACCATGTGCAAGGAAAATGAGCGATAGCGAAATGACAGAAACCCGGAATGGAAAAGCACATTGAAAGCTAGAAAGTCCAACACTGTCCAGAAGCAGAATCGCACCGATAATCCACCACGGAGAACCAAAGCACCGAATCCGAATGTCGCTGAGAGGATACTATCTCCACCACCAGCATATCTATCCAGAGCCCTTCCTCCTACTTGGCGCTCAGCGCCTAGCCTTGGCAAGGCTATACTATACCATTAAGCTATTTCCGCCATCAATCCACTTTGTGGTGCGCTCGCCGTGAGATGAGAGGCCGAAGGAAAGAAAATCAAATAAAAGAAAAGAAAACGCTCTTGCGAGCACGGCTCGCCAGCAGAGCAGAGTGGGCCTAAGTAGATTTGGACTACTGACTTTAAACTTATCAGGCATATACTCTAACCAACTGAGTTAGGAATCATGCCAATAAGATTACAAAATAACAAAAAAGTAAAAGTGACAAAAAAGATGAAAGGAAAAAATCGTTCTTTAACTGCTGGTACACCACTTCCAACACCATAATAAGTGACTACCTTCAGTGTTGCACACGCCGACCGTCGGCGAGCCCTGCTGCCGACCCGCCGACCGGTCGGCTGGTCGGCACCTACCGGTCGGGGGTCGGCGGCACCCCGCAATTTTATTTTTTTTATTTTTTTCTTTTCTTTTCTTTTTCCGGTCCAGAACCCCTAATAACCCCACAAACACCCCCATACCCACCCCAAATACCCCCATACAGCCCGCCAAACCCACAAACCGGCCCCCAACACCCTCATAACCCCCCCCAATACCCCTATACCACCCCTATACCCCCCTATA